GCCGGTGGTCTACCCCTGGATGAAGAAGATCCACGTGAGCACGGGTGAGTCGCCCTTGCCGGGGGAGGTGGGGATGCGCTGCAGAGGAGGGAAGGGGGGAGGGTGCTCCCGGCCCGGGATGGGTCGTTGCGTGTGTGGCGCTTTTTTTTCCCCCTTTCCTTCTCCCTCCGCGTTTCCTAATAATAAAAAAAAAAAAAAGAAGAAAAAGAAAAAAAAAGTGAGAAACCTTTTGTATCCGGGGTCCTTTATCAAAAGATTTACGAGACGCCAAACTGTTAGGGCAGTAATTATAGCCCCCATAAATTTAATTGCCCTGCAGTGGCTCTGGGCCATGTGTCTTTGAAGCTTTTCTTCTAACCCAAATGCCCATCACCATTTTTTATTGCTCCTCGATTGTCCCCACTGCCGATAGGCTGCGAAACAATTTTTCTTGCCGTTTACGTATCTTATGTGAACCTGGTGTCAAGTTATTATATAATGATTATGTTCACCGTTTTCCCCCCCCTCCCCTTTCTTTCCCCTCCGCGCGCGCGTGTGTGTGTGTGTGCACGTTTCAGTCAATCCCAATTACAACGGAGGGGAGCCCAAGAGGTCTCGCACTGCCTACACCAGACAGCAGGTCCTGGAGCTGGAGAAGGAGTTTCACTTCAATCGCTACCTGACCAGGAGGCGACGCATCGAGATCGCGCACACCCTCTGCCTCTCGGAGCGCCAGGTCAAGATCTGGTTCCAGAACAGGCGCATGAAGTGGAAGAAAGACCATAAACTGCCTAACACAAAGATGCGCTCCTCAAACCAGTCCACACTGAGCCAGCAGTCCAAAGCACAGACACAGGGCCACCCCCATCCACTCGATGGGGCTACACCCAACGCAGCCGCGCTATAAATACAGTGGTTTTGGTTTTTGATTTTTTTTTAAAAATATATATATTTACCTATCTATTGGGGCTTTCCAGCTGCTCCGTGGTGGAGGCTGGCCGTTTGGACCAAACAACTGTGTAAAACAAAACAGGAGCAGGAAAGGAAGACGAGACGTGCTCAAGAACGGGCACATGTTTAAACCAAATCCCGGACGATTGTCTACATTGTATATAGATAATGGTTCCATGCCCATCATTTTTTTTCTATTTATGGAAACGCTCCCTTGCCCTCGGTGTAAGAGAGGGCTGGATGCTGTCACGGACGAATTCTCTGTACCTAAGACGGACTCTTTTTCTTTTTTTTTTTTTTTTTGAGAACACTTTAAAAATAAAAGACGGTTAATACAAAGCAAAGACCTCGTGAGACACTTGTGTAAGGCATTCACTTGAATAGCTCTATTTCGTGGCGTGTTTGTGGATTCCCGTGTGCCTGTGCGTGAAGGTGCACACACACACGTGTGCACACACACCAGCACGGGAGAGAGAACGAACACGTCCACGGGAGGCTAAAGACTTACGAAAAATGTCCCCTTATGCTGTCTAAAGGAAAATGTTTTATGTATCAAAGGTAACTTAACTGGTTTTAAGTGTAGCCCCCGCAGTTGCTGTGATCTATTAGTTTTTCGCCACATTCCCTGTTGCATTTATTTAAAGAAATATTGCTATAAAGGCTGTTGCTCTCTTCATATTTGGCACCGTCTAAATCGTTTGGGTCCATGTACAATTTGTGGATTTTTGGTGTAATGTATATCAGTGCCAAATGCTGGTAATAAAGTTTATTCTGTACAAAAGAATTAAACGCTTGAAACACAAGTCCACTCGGTGCTGTTTCGTCTACCTTGTGCTTGGCTGGTGTTGTCACCAGGAATGGAAAACAACGCTTTAGCATACTGTTTTAACTTGGATTCACCTTGTTAATAAGGTAATGGTTGCTTTAAATATAGTGAAAAACGTCCTGACTCCTAGTTGCCTGGCTTGGAAAAAGAGCGCTGTAAGACGAGGAGAGGTCTTGCTTCATTGTATAGGTGAGTGGTATTCTCTTCAACCAACTTAGGGCAGGATTAGTCCCCTCTTCATCGCTTTCTGCACGACTATTTTCCACTGTACAGAGAAACTGGACTTCTACTGGGAGCCAGTAAGCTCCCATGAAGGGTTTTGCTGGAGAAGTCACACATGCTCCCCATGTTAACACTTTAAATCTTTAGGCAGTCGTTATTTATTTGTTAATTTTCGCCTGATTATGATCTCTCAGTTGGCTTGCACTTTTGAAGGGGAATACATGGGCGGTAACCTAAAGTTTCTCTAAACTGTCTTTTCTATTTCTGTTTCTTTTTATTCACTTTTAAAGACTATTTCGAAATGCGTTGAGAAAGCCTTGGCAGAAACATGAATTTGGGTGTAACTCAAGAGATTTTTTTGACCGATATTGTCGAAACGAATGTGGCAAAATGGGGTTCCAGTGGTTCCAGCTCAGGCTGCGCATCTCGCTGCTTCTATGCAGCTAAGGAGCATGGGGAAAGCGCAGCTGCTAACGGGGTGCCTTGCTCAGGGCTTCTGCAACAGACTAGCACTGACCGGGTAGGAAAAGGCTTGGAAAGTCGCTCAAGTGCTAGTAAATCTTCCAGGGAACGCCTGAAGGCCAAGACTGATTTACTTACCCAAATACATCCGAGAGGGCTTTTTGGAATCAATGCTTCTCTTCATGTGAGCGAGGCTGCCAGGACAGGGTGCATCATCACCCCTGGGTGAGGAAGCACCAGGCCCCAACAGTATTGTCACCATGCCTGCCTGGCCACAGAACACACATCATCTTCCTGGAGAAAAATGTAACGTGCCACTAGCAGAGCATGTTCGGCATCAGAGAGGTGGCAGCTCTAAGTAGCTTCAGCAAACACTGCTCTCTCCAAACCTGACCAAGGCCTGAAAAGCGTGCTTCCACTCACATATTGCTGTTTACTAAATCCTGAATTGCCAGCTGCCTCCTTATACAGGGAGAAAAATACAGCTCTTAAGTGAGGAAACTACTGTCTGCAAGCGTGTAACTCTTCGTTTTGTTTATTGCTTGAGAATGCCTCAATATATTTAGAGCCAAAATTAGCACAACCAAGCAAAATTCCAGCTGAAACGTATTAAGTGGCAATGCAGGATTTCTTTAGTGTGCAAGCCTATGTGTATAAACCTGGTTTGCTCCCATTGTAAAGAGAAATGAAATCACGCTGCAAATAGCAATTTTAGCGGGAATCATTAATCACCTCCTACAATAAATACTTCTTTGTAATTCAACAGCGGTTCTGAAAGGCATTCTCTTGGAAAAGTCTGTGAAGACGCAAAGGATTTTCCCGGGGAAAAAAAAAAAAAAGTGGTCATGTGTAAAGACACAGCATCTTGGCTGTCTGCTAAAAAAATGTACACTCTCTTGCTGGAGATTGAACCGCGGACTGCAAAATACCCCATGGCAGATTATCGACGTTTAAGGTAAATTTTCCCTTCCCCCTCCTTCCCCCCCCCTGCCCGTGCTGGGAGCGGGATGCTGCTCCCGGGCTGGGAGCCCTCTGCTCCCCATCCGATACCTCCCGTCTTTACAATAACTTCCAAAATTACATCGTCCAGTTTAAATTCTCGCATTGTGCTCCCTTTGCTAAGGCAACCGGGAGTTCACCGAGAGGACAAATTTTCTATCCCATTAATTGTTTTTTTTAGAGGAGCAGACTGACCCTTCAAACCCTTGACCTTTAAAGACAGTATTCTTTTTAATCCGGCACTTGGACCTAAATGTCTCTTCCCCCTCCCTCTCTCCCTCTCTCCCGGTGTCTCTCACACACGGATTTATCTGCTCTGGCCACAAAGGCGAGCGCGGCCCCAAAAACGCTGGAAGTGGAAGTTTGTCAGTATTTCAAAGAAAGACCAAATC